ATATATTCAGAGACTTCTTCTTTATAGTCAGATATAAACGCATTTTTCTCTTTAATGGGAAAGATCTGACATTTAATAGTGGATACCTAAAAAAGTACAAATTAGAAACGTGGGATCACCACCGAGCCGACGCTGGATTTTCTCTAGTCACGATGAACGACTGATTGATTGATTCATTTTCTACGGTTTCTCATTACTATTCGGGTTATTTAAAGCCACCTTGTATTTTTTTTATTGTAAGAATTTGTTACAAGTAGAGGAGATAATAATAGTTTAGTGATACAAGACTTAATAATTAACCCAAAGCTTGGGGCAGAATAGTTGGATTCACATCAATGTCAATGATAATTTGTGCGTAAAGTGAATATAATGAACACAACGGGAATTGGAACTCGGCTCTCCGATTAAAAAATGCGAGCCATTACACATTAAACCATCTGCACATTCAAGCTTACAGCAGCAGGTATTTCAAAGCGGTCATCAGGTGATGACAACGCTCGAAATTGCTTAATTAGGTGGTCGTAAGTAAACCAGTTCAGGCTGAGCATTGCATAATGTAAGAACACTTTTCTATTGAAACTCAAGCTCATTTCAGACCTTTAATGGATATATTTATAAACTATCCATCGCTAAAGAGACGAGAAAAGATCGGTTACTCGTATTGCCGCTAATATTTGTAAGATCTTGCACACAAGCAAAAGTCGAGAATTGCTAAAATGTCTGTGCTGACAGCATTGACAATGTTCAAAAAGCCGATCTGGAACCTTTGGATGATAGATAATTTTCCTCCTGATACGCCTTTCCCACAGACGAATATTAAGTCACCTCACACTATTTCATTGCTATTTTCATGGCAGATGTTAAATTCCTTAGTTCCACTAACACTTCACAGATATTACACGCAACGCCACGTACACAAGGCCGGGAAACACATTCCTTCCGCATTTCATTAGTAAGGAGGACGTTCCACAAAGAAGTGTTACTATATGAAACGAATGCCACATACACAAGACCGAGATTCATTTCGTATTCCATTGGTAACGAGGAAGATCCACTAGGACAGCTTCTAGCCTAGAAGTGTTACTTTATGAAGCGAATGACACATACACAAGACTGAGATATTCATTCCTTTCGCATTCCATTGGTAACGAGGAAGTTCCAATAAGACAGCTTTTAGCTCAGATGTGTTACTATATGAAACGAATGCCACATACACAAGACCGAGATCCTCATTCCCTTAGTATTCCTTTGGCAACGAGGAAGTTCCTCTAAGAGAGCTTTAAGCCCAGAAGTGTTTCTATATGAAACGAATGAGACAAACACAAGGTCGAGGTACTCATTCCCTTCGTATCACATTAGTAATGTTCAAGTTCCACTACGACAGCTTCTAATCCAGAATTTTTACTATATGAAAAAGATGCCCTAGGAAATATTTCTCTGATCTTTATGGAGACCTCTTCAAAATTAAGATCTTGTATATTCTCATACGCCTCTTTCTTACTCTTTTTATGTCCTTAAGGCAAGCTTGTAATATCAGTGGCTCTTGTGCCTTATATTGAGTATACAATATTACAGAACAATATATAGTAATGAGGAAAAGTTTTAAACGTGGCTTGATTACGCTGAAAATATGGGTTCAATATGTAAATGATTCAGGACTCCATTTAATGGACAAATGTCAATAGTTAGGATTAAATTATACTTAACATTGATTCATTCCCACCTTATTTGCAGTCAATATTTCACAAACTCGAGTGGATGCCTGGAGATCGATATTTGGTCCCCCAAGTATTTGTGAATAAATAATGATAGAAAGAAAAAACAAGGTTAGTGAACAGAAAAACAGCCTATATTTTGAAACGTTTAACATAAATATTTAATTAAAAAAAAATTTAAAAAATAAATAGAAAAAGTAGAATCAAGTAAAATCATCGCCAATCAAGGTTAAAACCAGAAAGCGACGTCGGAAGCGATTACATGTTTGAATCAAGTGAACCTCATACATATTAGGTGTAACATCCACGATAGCAGCTTTATAACATATTCTGTTTGGTAAAGGCACCTCAGCTGCAGCGGTCGAGTAGATTCAAATTGGAGAATAATAGTTGCTGATATCATCTCTATCTATAAAAGGCAGGATGTGTGTGTGTGTGAGTGTGTGTGTGTGTAACGAATGCAGGGACGCAATTTTCGACGGATTTGCATCTAAATTTACATGCACATGCTCCAAGTTAGCAGAAAAGGCCAAGACCGACGTTGCATTTCCCAACTCCCATAGACAGTGGAAATAATCGATTTTTCATGCTTCTACGGCAGTTTTCATGTAGTTTGCGGCCATTTTGTACTGGCCAGAGAGAGAGCCTATAGCTGGCTGCCACGAATAGGCAGGAAGATTCTAATGGCCAGCGTGAGAGCCAACAGCTGACTGACACGAATGTTAACTAGCATGCTAGCATGCAAAAGAAATCGATAGCTGCATTCGTCACAAGTGGGAAAAATTTAAATCTGCATGGCACTTTACTCCAATTGGCTCATTCGCTTGATTAAACTCAACGTTGATTCTGATTCAGCAGAACTGGGTTGTGTGTGAAAAAGTATTTGTTGTTAACATTCTTTTTTCATTCGGTTTTTCCAGTTACGAGTCCTTTTTAAAGCTGATCGTTTTGTGTTCATTTTGTTTAGTTCTTTTTTCGTAACAGATTTAATGTTTAGTATAGAGGTTAGAAAACGTTCGCAGTGTGAGATAGACAAGAAGTAAGGCATGTAGCAACATCAATACGGCAAAGGGCACTCCTTTAACGATGCCAGAATACCCATCTTTTGAATGACGCTGTTCAGAGAGCATTTGCAACAATCAACAATGCACAGCTTCGTAAATTTTCACACAGGATATGGCGCTGCATCATTTTTTCCATGAAAATGATGGTATTCATACAGAGTTTCTCGATGTGTAACAGCTGAAATGAAAGTTAATAAACTGAATCCAGTACACGTGCTTTGTATTACTGAATTAATTATTCTCCCATTGTTCTCAATACTTTTGGGTAGTGGGAGACAACACTTTCGGATCACCCTGTAGCTTATATAGATTATAAAGGATATAATTCGGTTTCTCCCAGATTTGAAGAGCTTAAGATTGCAGTGTCATTGAAGGATCCTTTTTAAGGGTGTTACAAAATTCACTGGGCTTTGAGAAGAATGTGTCTGAATAGAACGTACAAATGGACTACGTAGTGAATTAAATTTATTCACACCTGCAGAAATGGAATGGTGAGTTTTAGCTATTTGAACTGTTGAAACTAAGGAATGAAGCTCATCTGAACATTTTCCATAGGAATAGTGATATAGTAATAGCAAGTTATTTTTTGTTTATGGGAAATGTATTTTGTTGAGAAAAAATAATCATTTAGGTGGTTTTATAAACGCTTTTGGGGCTGGAACGAACGGATTGGTCAATCCCAGCAGAATTGCGGCAGCAGTTCTCCATTTTGGTCTGATCAATCTCTTGCAAAGAAAGAGCAAAGTAGGAGTCAGGTTCTTTCTGTTAAAACAACATAGCTTTTCATCATATAAATAAATACAATTTTTCGATAATTCTCGTTTAGTTAAAAACCCAAGGGATATTCAAAAAAGATAGTGACTGAATAAATGGGGATAGGTTGGAAATAAAACGAGAAACCCTAGATTAGATCAGGTAGTGATTGTGGAATCATCTTGGGAGGCGGATCTACAAAGCAGTATTTCTTGAGAACATTCTCGGAGTGAACTTGAAACTCACTAGTGGTATACTTAGGGAATATTCATGGTTCTCTACAATAAGCATGACATGATGGATTTTAGGCATGAAGGTTAGACCTGCTGGAAGTATGGAATGTAGTATCTCCTCAGACTTTCCATACAAGTAGAGACAGACTAACAAGGGGCTTCGACGTTTCGTCAGTGGGAAAAGAGTATGGGTTGCAATATAATTGTTGTGGTAGGATCCCCCTAATTTGCATAGTGGAGTACCGACCATATAAATATGGTTGGTACCGGGAAGACGAGGAGAGGAATAAAGAGATTCAATCCAGAGACTCTGCCCGACTGCGACTAAGTCAACACATTCTCCAGGAACGGTCTTCCCAAGAATATACAAAAGACTATATGTAAATATTGTGTACAGATTCTTGTTTCAATACATTTTGTTCTAAGTACATTTTGTGTTTGCATTATTATTCTATGCATTAGTCAAGTTTCAATAATATATATATATATATATATATATATATATATATATATAATAATGCAGATGCATATATATATATAGATACAGTGTGCATATAAATGAACATACAGCAGCCATATTCTCTTTCATTAAAAAAGCCATGATGATACATTTTAAGCATTAACAGACTATCATCACTGTATTTTGATCACAGTGTCCACTTTTATATTTACATACGCTCTATCACTGATATTGACCATTTTCCCCCATGAATACCGCATACCTTAAAACTATATTTTTTCATATATATATATATATATATATATATATATATATATATATATATATATATATGTAATATTTTTATCATATATATATATATATATATATATAATATTTTATCATATATATATATATATTTATATAATATTTTATCATATATATATATATATATATATATATTTATTAGTCTATTTTAATTATTATGAGAAGCAAAGAATGTTACATGAAAAAATCTTTCGTTTATTTGGTAGGTGGTTTTGATTCTATCAAGTCAGAAAGATGAATCTTCGGTAGTTATTTTTCCCTATATGGCAGCAATACACCGTTTTCTGCCTTAGGTGGCTCTTGCGGAGTTAAGGATAACAGGAGGAGTCTTACTGGATCGATACAGGAACACAAACACACACACGCACACACACACACACACACACACACACACATATATATATATATATATATATATATATATATATATATATATAAACTTGTATTTTTCTACTGTTTTCTCTGTCAGATGTTCAGGAATCGTTTCTTCTTTCTTTTTACTCGTTACACAACGTAAAATCCGTTTTCGATTTGAACCTTTGTCTATTCATTATTCTCGTTCGAGCTTTAAATATATATTAATAACAGAGTTAGATTTATTCTTTGTTTCGTTCAATATTTTTTGTGGTCGCTCTTTCCAATGCATGTTCACATCAAAGAAAACAGTGTGAAGAAAATTTATGCCAATTTTTGTCCCTAATGATATAGTAGAATCTTGCTAATTACAAACCGAGTCTATATCAGAAGAAGAACTAAATATCACGTTGCGAGCAAAGAAGATATGCCTTAACAGAGGACAGCCTTCTGTGGCTGTTGGGGTGGGAGATTGAGAAATTTAATTATCTAACAATATATTAAATCATATCTATCTATCTATCTATCTATCTATCTATCTATATATATATATATATATATATATATATATATATATATATACGCACACACAGCGATTTGGGGTGTATCTTCAAAGACATACACACACACACACACACACACATATATATATATATATATATATATATATATAATTATATATACATATGACTACAAGAATACATACTTATTCCTGTTTATAAGAACATTTCTGTATTCACATTTATAAACATATATTCACATATTTCTTAGTATTAATTTATGTATGTATTCACTATATATTTATATAAATAAACATATATGTATATATGTATATATATACACATATTTGCACATATATATATATATATACACGTACACATACATATCATATATATATATATATATATATGATATCACATATATATATATATATATATATATATATATATATATATATATATAAGATATCTAGTTTACATTTCTCTGCCATCGATCTTTTTCCTTCCTTCGTCAGAGAAATTAATGCAATTTTCTTTCACGAACTCGCAGTTCTAGATTCTAAACTATTTTTATTTTCACAAACAACCTGCACTTTAGTTTCCATTGGCTTAAAGTTTTTCAAAGTTAAACAAAGTAATATCTTCAGATTTTTACCCCAAAAATAACATCGCAAAAATCCATACTTACATTCATTGCCACGCTATCCAGTGTTCTATGTATAAATTCCGAATTCATAACACGCAACGAATGCTCTTATGTAACACGTTCCCGAAATCACAGGTTGTGCACCGATATTTAAATACATTCCTACGAGATGTCGCCGACAATTGAACGCAGAGTCGTTTTTTAGACTTAACGCAACAATGACAATTGATTTATAACAAAAATTATCTTCTTTTAATGTTAATTTTTGCTTTATTTTTTTCGTCTGTTTGTCGGTTTCACCAATGGAAATGTTCCTACAGCATAATCAGTAACAATGCAGCAGTATTTGACGGTGCATAGGAATAGTGAACGATGCATTTCAAAGGCAAAACAAAATATTAAAAAAATCTAGAAAATCGCGATAGGAATAAATAAAATTGCATTGAGCTATTATGTAATATCAGTCCTCTTATAATGTGTAAATAGTTGGCAGTCTCCTCACAGATGAAGACGAGACGTGAGGCAAAAGAAATGTGTTTTTTACAAAAGGATGCTGAGAATACCATAGGCTGAACATGTGATTAAAGAGGCAGTTTTAAGGAAGATGAAACAAAAAGAAACGTATACCTGCAATCAGAGAGACAACTGAAATTTGTAGGGCAGATAATGCGGAACGTGCGCTAGGAGAATTTGACAATTTAAAAGCAAGTATTTAACCTAGAAAATAGGCTTGTATAAATGCATGGTAGAAAAGTGATTAGGAGTGAAGGTGAAAAACTTACTAAGTACTACAATGGTTAGGAATTTGTTTAGAGCCCTGATAACATTCATTCTGAAGAAACATTACTCGTAGAATAAGATAAACCATTAATCTAACCACTGAGAATCCATTATTTTCTATCTTTTCGAAGCACAACATGCTTCTAAACTGCTAAAGCTTGATAATGACGATGTTATTGGTAATATTAACCGTTTCCTTGTAAGTAAAAATTCAGCAATCATCAACCGAACAGTTTGTATTGATGTTACTTCATAATTATCAGATGTTCCTTTCCGGGCTACGAGTGATGAAACCGTGTTGAATTATAACCGCATTTCCTAGCAATATTCGAATTCAATTTCCAGATAAAAATGATAATATTGTCCAGAAATTCCTTCCTGATATTTCGGGTTCGCAGGAAACCTGTACTATATCTTGATCAGATTGGTGTAACCTAACCTTTTGTTACATCGTCGAGGTTAATGATACACAAAGAAGAATGAGTGCTTAATATATTTATTCATTAGCAGTATCCGGTGCTAATGGATACATGCAAAAACACAGAACAATAAGTTACAAAACAATTAACAATTTAGAAGGAATAGAGAAGGGTCAAATGCTGTAAAGCCAAACGATATAAGATCAGTCCGAATATTAATCAGCTTAGTATCAACTTATTTATCAACTATTGAAGTCCTTAATCGTAAACTATTTAAGGCTATGAGCCAGGCCATCTGGTAGAGTGCTGAAGGTGTTCTAGCTACTCTACAACACTTTCTTAATCCTAATCCTAACTATTTAGATTTGTGTCATACTAAACAATAAAATCTATCATATATAATAAAAACTTTCAGCCATATAACTATATTTTGTAATGACAACGAATACTCGTTGTCACTTTCCTAATGCTCGTTGTAGTAGAGGCTTTGTAATCGCAGATACAACTATAGTAACACTGTTGAACAATGCTTGTGTCAGACACCATCGAATAACACTCGCACTAATAGTACTTGCTTGATAATACTCGCTCGTAACCACCGAATAGTAACCCGAATAGTGATCAGTATAGAGAAATAGTATAATGAAGAAAATAGCGATCCTTATAACAATAAGGGATAGAGTAGAAATAGTGATCAATTAGACGCCACGCTAATTCCAATATATACATTTCCTTTAACATCAGATTATCTACTTATTCAAAATGGGATTGTCTGTGTTTGCTTTTTGGTGATCTGTGTTCAAACCCCAGTATCGGCACCGACACTTTACTTCTATACAACAATATATAACACATAAAATAAAATATGAGATATTTCAGATCTGACATATAATATAATATCTTTCAGCTATAACAGTTAGAAGACAAGAAGGGATTGCTTTAAAATTCCCATTAGAAGACGACTCGTAATAAAAGATTTGGAAAAAATAAAAAATATGATCAAGATATTCTTAACAAAAATATATTTCTTTATAAATGGAATTTACGAAAGAACCTTGAAAATAGCCAACATTTAATTTTTTTTAAACAATGAGAAATAAAAGCAAAAAAAAAAACCAACTCCAAAACAGCGATTGATACAGACAATTATTATTTGAAATGTAATCCCCGACTCATTTTGCCATTCAACATTTCTCATTCGATTATCATAAATCCATAAGATTTAATGCTTTCAGTGACGTCAACACTGTGGGAGATTGTTTATTCTTATTCCCGGTCCATGTTGAAAAGTTATCGTGTTTTTTTTTTACTTTTTTTTCTCCAAGAAGCAAATTAGGAAACGTGTAAAAGTGTCTGCAGCAAGTTAACTTGAGGCGTAATATAAGGAGCGGTAAGACTTCTCTGCGTGTAAACGTGACGCGGCTATGCATATTTTATATAGTGAATAACCATATTATAACATTGACGCATCCAACAAACGAACAAAAAGAAGAAGAAGAAAACAAAGAGAAAGCGATTTGCGGCAGGTAAACACGAAAAGATATGTGAGAAAATATGTTTACGAAAATTTGACATCATCGTCGTAATTCCAAATATTATCCAAGACGTTATCATGTTCCAAAGTAAATCGTTGCTTTTTATATCGATTGTTTAGTAAGAAGATCTGTTGAGATTGTTCATATTTTTCTGATTGCCTTGCAACTTGTTTTCTTTTTTGAGATCTTGGAAGATATTCCGTTAGCAATAGTATTCTTCTTTCCTATGTAAGATGTTTATGTAAAACTTATATTTTTTCGAATATTTTATAGAATTTGAAAGAAGTTCTTAACATTTGGACAACTTTTCCGTTTACACGCTTTGGTTCATTCGCTAATAACACATTTTTATTTAATATTAACAAGTCGATATTTTCAGTTTATAGAACGCCATATTTCTTTTAATTTTTTAATCATATTGTTGTTTCTTCTGACTATTTCTAAATGTTAATCTCTGTTTTTTTTTTTTGTATTCGATATTTCTGTCTTTTTTCGTAAATTTCATTTTATTTTCCTTTGTTATTTTATTATTTTCTTCCATCTATTTTTTCTCAAATCATTATTTTCCCATTCTGTACTTAGAAAATTCATCTTCTATGTTCGCGGTGTCCAGTCAAGTTGTTGGTGATCATAGTTCTCCACAATTTCATCTTCTTTGTAGCTAACGAAAAGAAAGTCTTTTTATTATATCTCCTAAATCTTGTCCCAACGTCTAGTTACACAAGATCAATAGGTAGTTTATCTCTCTCTCTCTCTCTCTCTCTCTCTCTCTCTCTCTCTGCCTTTAATCTTTCATCTGCGTATGGAAATGTGTAAGCTCTTTTTCCTCGATATATGTCCAAGATATTTCATCGGTCTTTTCCTGATGTTAAGTATAATGTCCGTTCTGTTTTCCTGTTTTATATAACTTCGTCGTTGCTCACAGATTCGGTTCATGGTATTCTCATCATCCTTCTGTAAAATCACATTTCTCTTACTCAAAGTCTCTTCTTCATCAGTGATGACATTATATTACATTAACTGCTATACTAGTTCTAATTTATGCTTTCATTTCTTACTTTTTTAAAATTATAATCTTTAGTTCTTTCTTTCAGTTTTTCTTTATTCTTTCCTTCGTTTTACCATCGTTCCTTCCTTTGTTTCTTCTTTCTTCGATCATTTCTTCCTTTCTTGATTTCTTGCTTTTTCCTACCATTTAACTTCATCATTTATTTGTTTTTTTCTTCCATTCATTCTTTATTTTTCTTGTTATTTTCTGTATATTTTCTATTCAATTCTAATTACTTAGATTTTCTAGCATTAGACGCATTCTTCATTTCATTACTTATTTACTTTCGCTCTCTTCCCGCTATATTTCCAACCCGCCTTCAGTTTGCTTCATGTTTTGTCTCTTCCTGCTATTTGTGTCATCCAGTATTTATTTATTTATTTATTTATTCTTTCTTTCTTTCTTTCTTTCTTTCTTTCTTTCTTTCTTCATTCCATTCTTCTTTCTTTCTTTCTTTCTTTCTTTCTTTTTCTTCATTCCATTCTTTCTTTCTTTCTTTCTTTCTTCTTTCATTCTTTCCTTCCTTCTTTCCTTCTTTCTTTCTTTTATTTATTCCTCTACTGTTATTTACGTCATATATCTTTAATTCACCATTACCCCTTATATTAATTAATTTTTACTGCTATTTAATCCATAATTTTTCTAACAATCTTCAAAATTATCTTTCATTTTTTTGCATTTTTATATCTTTATTTTTCTTTCTTTCTATCTTTCTTTCTTTCTTTCTCTCTATCTATCTATCTATCTTTCTTTCTTTCTTTCTCTCTCACTTTCTTTCTTTCTTTCTTCTATATTATCGCTTTTTTAATCGTTTTGATTTTTATTTACCTGTTTTTCTCTTTCTACTTTATTGTTTGTTGATTGATTTTCTGTTGTGGTCTGTCTCTTTAGAAGGGAATTTTATTTCCTTTTCAATTAAATGTAATCTTCAATGCGCCAGACTGGATTTCCTTAACGTCTAATCATTCATTTTTTTATTTACTGTCACGAAACGATAGTAAATGGCAGGTAGATTTATGAACATTCCGAATTTAAAAAAAAAAAGAAGGAAGAAAAAAACAAACGTAAAGACAATAAATTAACCACGGTTAATTCCGTTCTTATTTCATTTTGCTATTTTACCAGCGATTAACTTAAAAACTTTAAAATGCTATATGGAATAAGAAACGACTTGTTAACCTTTACGTCTCCAAAATTAAACTTCTCGCCTTTAATCGTCTTAAAGGACCTTTTTTTTTGTCTTGCTTCATCATTATAGATTATGCTAATCTCAAATATAGTAACTAATTTTGTCTCCTCGGTTTAACTATTTCGACTAATATTTAGTGAAATGCCTATTGAATTATTGCTATTACTGCTCCAAGAAATTCGGTTCACTGTGTCGCTGTAGACAATTTTTTTCTCGACATAATATATCTTAAAGAATGCTGTTTACATTTGGCCCGTTTATTGAGTATTGCTGCAACACACCTTGAGATACCCGAGAAAATCCAAATAAAAGTCTGAAACGTTATCGGTCCAGACCTGGTATCTCGGCATCAGTAATTTTCCCACTAACGTAACTTAACTTTCCTGTGCCTTTTCTATAAATAATTTCGTAGTACTTGTTCTGTTGAACTTTGCTCTTTGGCACGTCGACTTTACGAAATTAAGCGGCATTTCATTGGGATCTTGATTTGATCATTTTACTGTTTAAATTGTTAGAGGTAACTATAAGTACAATGCTAAACTTTTCCTCCTTCAAACTGGTGTAACTTCCTTCTGATTCCTTACTTTCCTGTCAAATTTGTTCGTTAAAAATTTAAATGCAACGTGAATCATCGTCATCTATCTCTTTGAATCATTTTATTTTATTATCCCAGATTATCTCACACTTAGTAAGCATTTGTGGTTAAATGGCTTTACCTGGAATGAAATGATGCCGTTTTGAAAAATTGTAATTGAACGCAATCATGGTCTAATATTATTAATTTTGTGCAAATATTTGTCATTTTTTTTTATTATCGCAAATGCCCAATTTTCACTTTACAACCACAATAATAATAATAATAAAAAAGATACACGCGGGGTACTTCGACGTGGTACAATAACTTGTCTCGCTAGAACAATTATAACTGAGTAAAATGGGTTCGATCCTCACTAGGTGCCCCACATTTTTGGCCTTACTCTGCATCTAAGATACGCTTAGAAAATCACCATAGTAAAAAGCGTGTGTATCTTCATAGAATTCTATATTTCAAGTGTGTAAACGTGACATAAATATTACTAAAACAATGTATTTATGGAAAATATGTAAGATATTATGTTCACCAAACATTCGCTTTCACAAAACAATGGATGGCGCGTACAGGTAATTTCTCGAAAACTAAAAAAGTACGATTTCAATTGTTGCTGAATAGTTATTATTTGCGGTCGGCAGGGTTTACCACCGGTCGCTTTTTATATATTTTTTTATTTTGTTTAACGGCATGTCAACATCTATGGGTTATTTAATACCGAAAGCTAAACATTTTGAATACACTTTTATGGCTTCAGCTACAGAAAAATATATCGTTGTTAATTATATATATATATATATATATATATATATATATATATATATATATATGTGTGTGTGTGTGTGTATGTATGTATGCATGTATATTAAGCATTTCACCCCAAGCAAGACGGGAAGCCACAAGGACGCAAGGGTTTACAGAAGATTTGAAGCGAGATCAGATAGGAGTGATAGAAGAGGCTATGAGGAGAAGGGTAGTGGATAGATCAAGGCAACTGGAGATGTCGATTGACATTACACTTGAATAGCTGGAGATTATAGCTCTAAGGGAAACTGGAATAGGGAAGGGAGTTCCACAGGGGACAGGTGCGAGACATGAAGCTATTGGAGTAGAAGAGACGGCTACATTTAGGAGTGTCGACAGTGAAAGGCTGAGAGCGGGATGCCAGCCTTGTAGGGCGCTTGAACTCATGAAGTCTGGGAACCAGCGAATGCAGCTCCTCGGAGCAATTACCATGAAGGTATTTGTAGAACAGACAGAGAGGCGACAGCGCGTCTGTGAGAAAAATGACTGTAGACGAGATGCCAAAAGCAGGGCCAATTATATATATATATATATATATATATATATATATATATAATTGGCCCTGCTCTTGCATCTCTACAGACACTATATATATATATATATATATATATATATATATATATATATATATATATATATATATATATATATATATATATGTATATTATTTTACTATAAAAATGTATTTTTATACTTTCATAGTGTTTTCTTTTTGTTTGGTTGTCCACTATTTGCCCATGACTGGGACCCTAACAGGTGATGCCACTCCGGATCAGGGTGGACCTAGGAACAACAGCAATTAAAAGGTGGTTCCGTGCTCCTCAAAACATCCAATCACTTGATAAGAGGCCTTGCTGCCTTATGGCATACCTAGGACTAACAACAGCCGTAGAGAGAAGTCCTGATTAGTTACGATGAAAAGCAAATGTATGTAAAATTATTTCTAATTTAATCCATTGTATATTCTGGACGTTGACAACCGAAACTTTCCACATGTTTCTTTTTTTTATTATCTGTGAATTGTCATGATTTTTAAGGATCATATTGGAATTTGCCGTTGCCTTCTCCACAGCTTTGTATTGACCGGTATTCTTCGGCCAGTCTGGCAGCAGCATAATTTTTAATAGACCGTTCTTCAATGTTATTTAACTATTAGCTAGTGGTAGAATAAAAATGAACTAGTTCAGAATTTCAACTCGTTTCATCGATTAAACTTTTCGCACCAATTGTACGTACGCTTTCCTAAAATGTAAAAATATTACGAAAAAAAAAACTCTGCTTCTATTAAGTTACATTTTTGTATGCGAAGAAACCAATGAAATTCCAAATATTTTAATTCTATTTTCTCATGATATTACGTTTCAATATTTATCGCGGTGTAGGATCTAAAAAGAATTTCAAAGACGTTAACTTGCTTTCGGTTGGTTCAAATATCTTACACATCTGAAATGATTGCAGTTGGTTTTATCGTATTCTCAAACATATATCGGATACTGTTTTTCTTTAGATCATTACAGATAATTATTATTAGCTTTCTTCATTTTATTTTTATTCCTATCGAATATTTTTTGTGATATATAGTAAGAACATTAAGTTAGCAGCGTGAAATAGGAAGACAAATATAACTCCGCTTATTATGGTATTCGTAATACAAGTTTCATTTGATGCTACTGCTATATTTACGAAACTGTTAATTCTTTTCTTTAATGTCAAAGTCCTGCAGGACGCAAGCGATCTTCGCTCTCTAATTATGCCTTATATTTTTATCTGTGAATTTCTATGATATAACGGGGAAAGATAATGGGCTGGTTAACTCTTTCATTCTCCAAGTTCTTGAAAATATTTTAGTCTTTCTCCGAGACTAGAGAAACAAATCTCCCCTCCTTCTCCTCCTCCTCTTCTTCTTCTTCTTCTTCTTCTCCTCCTCCTTCTTCTTCTTTTCCTCCTCCTCCTTTTTCTCCTCCTCCTCCTCCTTCTTCTTCTTCTTCTTCTTCTTCTTCTTCTTCTTCTTCCTCCTCCTCTTTCTTCTTCTTCTCCTCCTCCTCCTTCTTCTTTTCCTCCTCCTCCTCCTCATCCTCCTTCTTCTCCTCTTTCTTCTCCTCATCCTCCTTCTTCTTCTTCTTCTTCTCCTCCTCCTTCTTCTCTTCCTCCTCCTCCTCTTTCTTCTTCTTCTTCTTGACGTGAGCGATAATGGTTCCCTACAAATTCCTATGCTTCATAACTCAAAAGAAATGTTTGAAACCTTACTATTGTTTCATCTTCTTTTAATCTCGAACATTTACACAAGCCCATTGAGTATCTTACTTGCTGTTTATTCTGTTCCATGCGTGTTATGGATGATTGATTGATTAGTGTTTGATGGCTTATCAACACTTTGGGGACTATTCAAAATTGAATCCTGTTAAAGATTGTAGGAATTTGCTTACACTAACCAGTGAAAGATTCTCGTATAAATATAAAATATACGAATATTCATCCAATCATTGCAAAGACCGTCTGTAAATATAAACAATAATGAATATACTGATGAGAAAACTAAGAAAGTATTAAAAAGCTAAGAAATTATAAAGCATCAATTTACAGTGAGACTAAACTTTAGGAAATTGTTTACTTTCTCTCCGAATTAAATGACAAGTTTCTCTAAGTATGGAATTAGAAATGCATCCCCAAGAAATAGTGTTTATCCCGCATTAAGTCATTATGGAAACAGAAAGGCGTCACTTAAGACTCTCACAAATACAGAGATATCTCAATTGGATCTATCATGGCGAAATTATTAATGGACGTTATATGAACTAGGCTTTCAACTCTTTTATGAAATTTTGGATTTGTTTCTAAGAGGAATACTATGATGGCATATATATCATCAAGCAACTCCAAGAAATTGTTTATATCTCTAATAGGAAAATGTACACCTACTTTTTCGACCTCACTGCAACATATGTCCATATCAATAGATACTCTTCTCAAACATTAGAAACCGCTTTCAAACTCCGATACCACTGAATGTATCGATCTAATAAAAGAACTGTATCGATCTACAAATTCTTACATGTCTGGCGAGGACCGCAATACGGAAATATTTGAAACATCATCAGGAGTAGGACAAGGAAGAAATGAGAGATCCAGTCTCCTTTTTTTCCTAGACTATGCACTATGTATTTACAAACACAAATGGGATAAGATAGACACTGACCATTTAAGCATTCCATACCACATTGCAAACATGTGCACCAATAGAAAACAACCATCTTTCTTTCCCTCCCGTGTCCAATGAACTGATGATAAAGGTAGCTATGCTGATGATATAGTTATTCATATATGGGATAAGAATGATCTTGAATAGAAAATTAGCATCCTCTACCAAGTGTTCAAAGAAATAAGACTCAAGGTAAACCTTTCCAAATTAGAAACTATGATTTGGAATTGAAATGAAAGCAGTGATAGTATATACATTTAAGCCATCATAAAAATGCAGTATGTGGAATTAGCAAATACTAAGTACTTAAAATGCGTATATTTATGGATCATTTATAACAAATTAAGTATAGGAGAAAAGAAAATTGAACATGCACGAGAGGTAGTCCCTCCCAACAAATCAAATTGCTATAAAAACCAAATCATCAAACTGTCATGTAATTAAATAATCTCGTGAGATGGTGACTTTTGTAAAGCTGCCATGAATGGCGCCAAACACGTTCAGAAATTTCTAAATTGTCGCCTATATAGAAATGCTAAGATCAATGGTCACAAAAGGCTTTGCGAAAGTGAAGGAAAGAACATACCTCTTTGAACATTGTAGACTGGCGATACAGGTACGCAAAAAAAGAACTGCACAAAATAAACAGAAGCCACATCACTTGAGGACTACCAAGAGCAGCATCAGCTAAAATGGATAGCTTAACTAATTCGAACCCAAAATAACAACATAATGATTTCTAAATTCCCCACTGCTCCAAATAAATGTTAGGAAGGCAACCCGCATCAATATTGGAAAAAGCGATAACAGCGACTTGACTCGAAAAATCAATTTACCCGAAAAATTGTTTTAAAAGAAACATTTTATAAATTTCAACCGAAAACAATACGGACATTTCGGTCAATGAATACCAAATGTTTTCTTTTGTTGTGGGGAGGGGGGATAATATTTCCTTAAAAGTTTGGACTCGGCCGTCGGAGAAAAGATATAAAAATACTCCTACATCAAGAGGAGTAACAGAAGGAACTGTAGCACCAGTAGCTTTTACTGAAAACAGTCATTCACGAGTAAACATTCTTTTACCTAGTTTCTATTCTATATTATTTTCCCCTGTACCAAAAGATAAAAAAAAAATTGTTGTTAAACCAATTCCGCTTTTCTACTGTTGTTTTTGATAACTCAATAGAAAACCGGAATTGTTTTAACAACAATTTTTTTTTTTATCTTTTGGTACAGGGGAACATAATGTAGAATAGTAATATTATCCGTTCCCTAACAAGAGTACCATTACCATTACCATGTCAGCCTCTATCACATCTAATTATTAACCGAGCTGGCCAATATTTTACTTCGGTGATCGAAGGAGAACCCGTTTTTCAGAGTGATTTAAATGCAAGCATTTGTCAAATGAGTTTCTACAATTCCCCTTTCGGTGGTTGCGTCTTATATGAGTCTGATAAAACATTTTTCTCGCTAAATCATTTCCATTTTAATGAAATTCTCATAGCTGATGTCTCCAATTCGGAACTTATTTTAGTTTTCATCTTGCCAACGTCTAAAACCAAACTATGGAGACGGAAGGTTACATGGCTTACCGAAATATTATTATGACGGAAATGAATGTAACAGAAGATTCCGGAAGTTGAATTCATGTCGCCAATTACATTTTTGCGATACTCGTTGGTCCTTACATTCTTACTATATTTTAAAAAAAAGGTTTAAAAATAATATTTTGATTGTATCTAAATAATCATTTTTATATTCTTCTCTTTTACGGATTCGATCTTTTCACTTTTCTACTTTGAACAATTTTCCTATATTAATATTAACGACACTGCCATCTTCAGTAGCCAGGGCAAAGAAGAGAAATCCATCAGAGCCAATGTTACAGACATAAAAAAAACTACCAATTCACGTATATTCTTATTTTGAGAGAATTATATAGCTTTCAGTAGGGAATCTAGTTCGAAATATACTTGCTCCATGAACCAGAAAAGATCTTATATATATATATATATATATATATATATATATATATATATATATATATATATATATATATATATATATATATGAGACTAGATCTCGTGATATACAGTAAGGCTTCGTGATGTAGTATAGAATTAGTCTTGTGGAATTGATCAATTGTTTTTCGTCGTGCGATTGAAAAACAACATGCATTTGACTGGTTGGTTGCATTTTCTCTTATAATCGGGAATCATGGACATGGCAAGTAATTTTATGCTGTTGGCGCGATTTCATTAATATAACACGAAACAGATTGTGTGACACAGAATATCAAATATGTAAACATCTATCCATATCTGTACATACATATATGGGTTACCTCACATGACTGTGCCAAAACTAGGGAGCGCTCTGTAAATATATAAATAGGCAATGATATTCTCACTCACTCATTTTTGGCGTTATTAACTCTGAAAGAATATCTAAAATGTTATTAAGGAGCGAGAACAGTAGAAAAGTATTCAATAAGACAACAGATTACGATCGACATTGCATTTAAATTTAAATGAAGATCAAATCTGGCTGGAAAGCATGGAACCAGAAGAAAATAACGAGAAAATAATGCGAGAAAATAATCTAGGGTAACAGCTAGCCAGTTCAACTGTAAATTAATGACACTTTGTTGGCATTCTAGTACTGGGTTTAAAGTCTAGGTACCATAGCGAAGAGTCAATCCGAAAAATTACCACGAAAATATTTAAAGAAAACGCACAGGGAAGCTATATTACCGGGGAGGAGAAGTGACTGAACCCGAAACGCCTGGTCAGGACCAATAATTCTTTGGATTTTATCAAGAATCTCTACATATACAGTGACAGATACGTCCTAGATGTGGCAGCAATATTGGAAGCATGGTAGACTTATAAATATTTCAGATAGATTCAGGAGAGAAATATTGTCTAGCACGACAAAGTCGCAACTATCATCGTGTATATGTTTATGCATAGCTATCTATCTAGCTAGCTAGCTAGGGAATTTACGTAGTTAAAGATCAAATCCAGATCAAATTTGGATCGAAATGTGATTTCACTAATTTCACCATAATTAAAAAAGAACATAATTCGGTAAGAGAAAATACATTTAATAGCAACCTTACTGCAAACTATAAACACATGCCTAAAACATTATATTAATTCGCCATATTTCATTGCATCCATACTTAAAGAATCTGACTTATATCTATCTAATGAAAAGAGTACATGATTAAAGAGATCATTCATAAATTAAAATCACGTGACACACTACTGCGCTGAATAACCGCACAATACTTAAGAAAAGAGAACGATGTCCACATTACAATCCGATGCCCACTTAGACATACTCAAATCTTCACAAACTTACATACACGTAGATGTTTTTTACTGTTTTAATGCACATGACACGGGTCTGAGTAATGAGAACTGATCCAAACAAAACTGAAAATCAAATGTTTCTATGTTTTGCTGTTTGACTTAATAAAGGTGAAACATGTTAAATTGATATATGTATCATATTTGCTCTTTATTTTATCACACACACACACACACACACATATATATATATATATATATATATAAGGGAACATCGAAGTCAACACTTAGAGGCGACAGTCTGATTTATGCGAGCATGAAACAGACTGTCGCATCTAAGTGTTGACTTCAATGTTCACTTTTATATTTGCAGACGGTCTATCTCTGATATTGAGCAATTTATCCCATAAATATAGCACCTCTTAAGACTATATTTCTTCATCTATCTCTCTCTATATATATATATATATATATATATATATATATATATATATATATATATATATATATATATATATATATATATATATATATATATATATATATATAAATATATATATATATATATATATACATATATATATATATATATATATATATATATATATATATATATATATATATATATATATACATATATATATATATATATATATATATATATATAT